ATAGGAAGTTGGGAAATTGATCTTTCTCAGAAGGGAAAGGTATCAAGGCATGGAAAGAGTGGACAGGGAAAAGGGATGAAAAGAAAAGAATTGGGATCTGTTGAGTACATGTACCAACTCCACACAAGGAAGGTAAACATTATGCCCTGTAAACATGTACCAAAAAAAAAAGGGGATGAAGGGATATTTGGAGGGAGCAGGTGGAAGGGAAAGGGGGTAAAAAAGGAATTAAGATGTGGTACCTACATGTACCTACTTCCCACAAGGAAGGTAAACAATATGTTCTACACACATGTACTAAGAAACTGAAAAATGGTCTTGGCAATAGTGTAGATAATTTTTGCGTAGTGTACAGGTAAATACCTATTTGTAGTTCAGTCAATAATTTATTAGATATTCTACCAGAGCCTTTGCAATTTTATTTATTTATTTAACTTATTTATTTATTTTTTTATTTTTAGCAAACATCAGTTTACTACTTTGGGACTAGACAATTTTATAGCTGAGAAAGAGAAGTTAATAATAACTATATATACAACTTTTGTGTATACACCAGAATTTACCTCAAAAAATAAAATAATGAGGTTTTCAACCCCTCCACCAGTGAGGGCATGGGAATAGGGAAAAAAGTAAGAACCGAGATAGACCATGTAAAGGTACAAATTCCCAATGATGAATGCCATCCTACTGTATGCCTAAAATATACCAATAAACTTATTGAATAAAAAAAAATTTAATGATATTTTTATATGTGCACACATTCTTTTTTTTCTGTCATGGGACTCAAATTCATGGCCCTGCCAATCTAGGAAAGTGCTCTATTGTAGCCCCCAACAGTACACTTTCAATAAATTCCTGTCAAATAGTAATCTTGAGAGTTAAATATATAAACTAAGGTTTATGATCTTCATATCTACACAGTATTCATGATTGCTGGAGTTCCCAGAAAACAAAATACTTGCGTTAATTTCTACATGCTCTGAGAAGAGAAGAAAAACCTTTTTAAAATATTCTCCAAGTTATGAGCTTTCATCCGATTATCCTAAGGACAAGGAATATATCATAATGATCAGGCAAGTGTTTTCATCACAGTCCTGTCGTGCTTTGTCTTTGCTATGTCCTTCAGGCATCTCACTTGTATTGGTAGTACCATTCAAATACTGTCAATTTTGAAAAATTGCCAGCTCCTTATCATTGTAAAAGAGTCACAGCATTGTGTTGATTTACAAAACTATTTTATGCTACACTGTATCACAGATGTTCAAGAAAATAAAATATGTTCAGAAAGGAATATAGTAGGGAAAATCTTCAGAATTACCATGATCAGCAGAATCTGCCACTGTCCTCAAATTCTATTCCACATAATATCAAGCTTCCTAAGTCCTGACTCAACACTTACCACTTGACCCACAAACAAAATATACAGTTTCAGGAATGTCAAGAAAGGATATTTTCCTGACCATCCGTTTTTAATTAGACCACATCATCCTTGCGATAAAATAAATTCTACAAGGAAATCACCAAGACCAACACATGGTACTCTGTTCCCTTAACAGGGGATGCCAAACCAGGAAGTATGCCGTCAACTGTAGATTTTTAAAAAATGAATTAAACTGGCATCAGTTGAAATTTTCAAGTATTTGTAGGCTTAATGAATTATCTCCTTCAGCAGCTGTTCCCAATCTATAATCACAAGTTCTTCATGTTGAAAGGGAACAAATGCATTCTCTCTTCAGTAAGTTTTAGACATATCAAAAACCCAGTAATCACAAATGAGCCAAACAGTAGTTGACCGCATTATGACAAAATGACGGTCATCTGAATGAAGAGCCTGAGCGCTTCCAAATCTTACAGAGGTGCTTGTGAAATGTGGGCCAGAACAATGCCCCTTGTTTTCCGTTTCTCCCCCCCGCCCCAACCGAGCCATCCACAGCATACAACGCGGAAAGTTTCAACTTATGATCAACACTCAACAGATGTCATGGGAAATCGCCCCAACCGTCCCCACCCCCAGTAGACGATCCCATTACTAATTAAGCAAAACTAGTAGCAGACAAATTGAGCAGGGCAGTGCTGATCAAGACTCGTGTCTTCAAACGCAGATGGAATCTAAATGTACATGGTTAAACAATGAAAGTCCTAAATTTCCCATCTCCTTTCCCTGATTGCACCCTTTATGTAATGCTGCTTTTGGGCTTCGTGATATGGGCCGTCTGTCATCTTAGTGTTATGCACAGTGACCTCTCTTCACCGCCCAGCCTCAGGCAGACCTATTACTACTGCCCTTCCTTGGAACTAGGACAGCCTGATTACATTAAAGTGAATGTTCCTCACTCTGCGGCCCCAGAAATGATTACAACTCAACAGAACTGAGTTGCTGCTCCCAAGGCTGGTGGTAGACAGGAAAGACAGATACATCTGAGGCACCATGCCGCCTTATTTATTCATACTTCTCTGGGTTGCAAAATGGAACAAATAAAAAGAGAAACCAAAAAAATGGTTGAATAATTCAGGAGACAAAGGGATTTACATAAAGTGCTATTATCATTTAGCTGTATGTGCTGCATTAAAAAAAGGATGTGTACTTTGAATACATTTGATACAATAAGTAAGTCAATATGTGATAAAGATAACAAATAGTTGATCCTTTTCTCAACCATGATACCTTCCAAATTTGCTTGTTAATTTCAAAATGGAGGAGAGCATATTGATGGATGGATGGATGGATGGGTGGGTGGATGGATGGATGAATGGATGGACAGAGAGAGAAATTTATATATCACAAAATATCTTTGAAGAAACGCTAACATTTGTTTATGATCAGAAAGTATGGAGAAGCATTTAAAGTTAACTTTGCTGGAAAGAAGACTACAGTGAAGAATTTGAACCACACAGTCACAGAATCCAAGAAAAGGTATAGAAGTTTTGTTCGACAAAGAGAAAGGCAGAGACATAAAGATTTAGCTCCAAAAATGTTAAGAGATGACAGAAGTTACATCATTTATGAATTTTGACAAATATTTGGGAGCTGCCACATTCAAGCCAATTAGAAAATTGGTGTTGATAACCCACAGTGAAGAGATATAATCATACACACTGCCTCCCAGGGTTTAAAGCGACAGCTGAGCCATGAAAACCTTACTACTTGAAGCATATTAATCCATGAGATGGGCCTTGTTCAGGTTTGTGTTGGGGGAAAGAGACCAGATTTGGAGCTGTGAAATATTCCTGTGATGCAGGTAAGGTTATAAAACTTCCCCTCCTTGGATTCTTCTCACAGGCCCGCATTCTGGTTATGGTGGACAAGGACAAAATTCACTAAGAAATTCTATGGGTCATCATGGACACTTTAAAAAGTGCTAGAAACCAATGCTTTATGCTTCTCCTAATTTCAACTTTATTTATTTTTTTTTACCACCCATGTTATATGAGAATTTTCCTAGGCTGATTTAACTGGGATGAAGATGTGTAAGTTAAAATAATTCAACAGAGGTCAAGGATTGTAATCTATTTGTTAAATTTTTACAATTTCTATCAGCTCTTGCCTCAGAGGCCAGGCAAAATGTTAGTAGGTAGAGAAAGTGCACATTCCAGGGAGATAATGGCTTCGGAACAAGGCAGGTGGCAGGAAAGGATGTGGATGGTTAGTTGTGTACAGAATGAGGCTAGCCAAGAATCTCAGGTCCTTTGAAGGCCTTGTATCTCTTAGGATTTCTGTGGATTTCAAATGAAAGGGATGTGCACTTCTGACAATTTCAGTCATCCTGAAGACTGACCAACATGGCATTTTTCAGCATTTATTTTTGTGTCCTCTGAATTTCCTGTTAAAATCATCAGTCCTGGATGTCCCCAGAGCATTGATCTGAAACCATGCCCTTCTGTGGGGATCCACCAAACTGTGTGAATGCTCAAGCTTACGGGATAGGGTTTGCATACAAGCTGTATCCATCCTGTAAACCTTAAATCACATCTTGCCGTGCATGTTAAATCATCTGTAGGTGATGCATTACATCTACTACCATGCAGTGTTATATAAAGAATTGCACACTGTGTTGGTTAGAGAATAGTGACTAGAAGCTGGCTTGAACATGTTCAGTAGACTTGCGGAATGCTTTCAAATATCTTTGGTCTGAGGTTGGAGGAATCATGTGATTCTGAAACCATGGCTATGAAGCGCCTCCAGAATTCTATATTCTGGATCAGGCACTTTGAACAATCCTGATAATTTCCCATGCATGATCATATGATAGGATTCTGCAGTCAGTCTCACTGTTATCTAGAAAATTCAGGCATCATATAGGCACTAAGTGTTTCAGGGACAGTTTTCGTGAACTCTTCACAACGCAACAGGCTACATGTTGTGTTACAGAGCTCTTACCAACCAAGAGAAGGCATTTGAAAATAAGGAATGAACGTGCAGTCAGTTTACAATAAAGAATCTGTCCTCTCATTCTCCAGTATAAAGAGCCTTGTGCTGGACACTTCTCCTAACAGATACCCCAGATTAGATTCCTAGGAGACCCCAGGGTGACCAGGGAGCTCAGCAGATGCAGGGTTGCAGGTCAAGATTACCCAGCATGAGCTTTGCTTTCCCACTCACGGTCAATGGTCCTGGGATGGCTCCAACCCTAAGGCATGTTTTCCCCTCTAAGAAAATTAGTCAGTGACTGGTTGTACAGCCCCAGCCAGACCTGACTTCCCATTTAGACACGATCGAATCCAGCATTCCCAGAAACTGCCACACAGCACCTCTCTCCGGCTTCTATCTGACCTCAGATCAGAAGGAAAAAGGGAAGTCCAAGGAAATAGGAAGTTGTCAGTTATAATAGATTAGAGTGAGTACTGCGTCCAGGTAACAAACTTCCCCAGCTCCGTGCTAAACTCCCCTCACAGGAACCCCCAGCAAAGTGATTCCCAGGTTCTCCAGCCCCACAGTGCTTCCCATAGTGTCTTTCTGGCCATTTGGAATCAAATCCTTCGTCCTTATTCTCTACACTTACCATTCCGTAGTCCTGAGGACACAGCGCCTTTTCCAACCACTCCAGGGATAGCTACTTGGTTACTTTTTCCATCTCAGCACATTGCTCCCTGTGAAAATGAAAGAGAAGCATACTGCTCTACTTAGTGCAAGATAAGATGCCACTGTACCAAAACCAACACTCTGTTTCCTTTGAGTTTTCCTATGGGTGATTCCAAGAATGAGCTGGCAGTGGATTCACATGACTCTTATCTGGTTCCCCAATAAGTCAGTCAACTAGGCAAGAGAGCACTGCTACGCAGGCTTGCTGACTTGGCCTTCTAGATCCAACACATGCAGTGTGGGAATACAAAATCAAAGAAGACAGCTTGAGGTGACCAATATATGGTTTTTCACCATTAAGCCTTCTTAGAAGGGCTGGGGATGTAGCTCAGAGGTTGTGCCACCTGCCTTGCAAGCCCAAGCTTCTGAGTTCGATCCCTGGTACCAAAAAAAAAAAAAGACTTCTTAGATAATCAATTCTGTGCCTATCTATGTTGGATCCAGTTTGTTTCACTAAGGAGATCATCTTGGAAAGCTTTTTAAGGAGAGCCGATAGGCATCTCAGAAATCATTTATTTGCCCAAGGTAATGCTCCATCTGCAGTATGTTCCCTATCATACTGGATCAGAGTGCAGAGGATCACAGATTATCTGGCTTTCTTGGTTTCCATGCAGACAAATCAGGATCTGTCTGTGGAATAGTCACCTCAGCACTGTGAGACACTTTTCTTGTCATTTCATCGTGGGATCTTGTCTTTATGGATGACTCTCACGCAACAGTGCACCCGCTCCTTACCAGCGAGAATCATAACAAGATGAGTTATTCTGTGAGAGACAGGCGACGGATAAAAAACTGCCTTTAGAGCCGGGGATTTAGCTCAGTGGCACCTCGCCTGCCTCACAAGCACAAGGTCCTGAGTTTGATCCCTGGAACGGAAGGGGAAAAAAAACAACTGCCTTTAAACTCACCATTTTATATCTCTGGGAAGGAAGGCAACAAAATGGGAGGAAAAACCATTTAATGTCCGCCTCTCCTGACCTCAGAACTTGCAGAATATTAGCACCAAGTAGAGAAAGCCTCTGGGTTCCATTGTTAATGAGCCAGCATGTTATTAAATTGTCCAAAGGTATTTTATTTTAATTACATTTTCAATTACTCATAGGAAATAGCACATTGAATTACGGATATGCGTTTCATAGACATTGTTGATTAAAATGTATTTGTGAAATGAATTTATACTTAACTACAACCCTAATCCCATCTGCCTTCGGTGACCTTTCTATAGCCAAACAGGGGAGTTACTGGCACATCTGCTTCTGTGTTAGCAAAAATTGATTTTCGGATGTGAGGCCGCTCATCTGATAGGCTGTGAAACACAGACCAGATCTATCTCTCTGTTTCTCTTGAAGGCTGAGATCATGCATTTTTAAAAGTTCAGGCTGCATTGTCACCCAAGTCAATATAATAGTTAGGATAGTTAACAATGTGTCTGGTAGGTCAACCTTTAACATGTTGAGTGTTTTACTGTTATCAGCTCCTTCAATCTCAAATATATATGGTATCTATTAGTTATCACCATCTGTTGAAAAATCAAATCCAGGAAGATATTTGCTCATTTGCTAATAAAACAAAAATATAAAGAAGAGGCTGAGACTCAAGCCAGGGGCTAAGGCTGCCAAGCACCATGGCTCAGGTAAGGCAAGAGGACCCTGAATCTTGACGCTGGGGAATCGAAGCATAAAATGGCTTTTCATCAGTGACAAATAACACTCATCCAAAAGTGATTTGATGTTAGTACCATAGACAGCTCCCACTGCGGGTGTGGTGCAGGCAATTGATTCTCTGTTAATGCTCATGCTTGTATTCTTAGCTTTTCTTGAAATTGGTTTCATCTCTATTTAATCTGATCCAAGGTGATGGTCCTGTCTATTACAAAGGACCCAGGTTAAATCGACGACTACCAAGTGAATCACGGAGGACAATTTCAGAGAACTTTGGCCAAAACACGAGTGCGAATTATGACTGATGAACCACTTTTTTTTTCTCATGATATAGTAAGTGAAAAATTATTTATCAGTTCAGCTTTGGGACTTGCTCAGCTTTCTTGATAGGCTTATTAAGGTACACAAAAGTGAGATGGAAATACTAACTGTACATGTCTTTGCTTTATTTTCAAAGCTGCTAATTTATTTTCAAATCTGATGGGACAAAATTTGTGTATCATAGAGGACTTAAGGTTTAGTTGCCCAGTCTACTTAGATGCTGTGGGGAGAATTTATTTCCCCACGCTGTTTCTATCTGAATGTGCTTAAACCTTTTGCACTACGTGTCAGAAAGTCTTCAGAGCTTCGTATTTCTTGCTGTCTTACTGGCTTCCCATTCCTATGCTCAGTGCTCATTGGATTATCTTCCTTGATATCAATGACTCAAATACTTTTTAAATATGTTTGTGTGGCTTTTTACGTGTTTCATTGATTTAAATAGACACCACAGTTGTACATGCTGCTGCAGTACAGTGTGCTGTGTGGATCCATGTGTAATGGTATGATATCCTGAAAAAGGTTTTGAAGGTCTCTAACACCTCCCGTAGTTATCATTTCATTGTGGGGTAAACATTTCAGATCTTCTACTGCTGCTTGGCTCTTCTTCAAGGGTGACCCTTCATGCATGTTATGATTTGGATCTTATGTGTTTCATAAGGCCTGTGTGCAGAAAACTTGGTGCCCTTTGGTAATGTTGGAAGATGTGGTTTTAAGAAGAGTGGTCACTGGTTAGGTCAGTATTGAATCTCCTTGGGGGATACATTAGGATCTCTCTCTCTCTCTCTCTCTCTCTCTCTCTCTCTCTCTCTCTCTCTCTTCCATTTCCTTGTTGCCATGAAATAACCACGCACACCCTGCCATGATGTTGTCTGACCACAATCCCAAAGACATCATGAGCCAAAGTAACTCTTTCCCTCCTGAAGATGATTCTCTCAGGTATTTTGTTCACAGTGAGGGAAAGCTAACTAGTGCAGTGTCTGAGCTCCAACACAATCTTCTTCCAGAGTGCCTTTTGTCCTGACCTCTGCCTTTATCTTGAACATTGAAGACAGCGTCTCTGTAATACCTGGATAAGTTAAGCAATTTTGTTACTAACAGTTGGGCATCAATGGAACATCCACACCATGAATACTGCTGCCATCAAATAACTAAGTCTTCGTTCTGGTCTGCTATATCAGATTCACTGTGGATATGGCATGTCAAGTATGTCATGTATTTAGAGCTAATTACGAGACATTTTCATGTAACAGACAAAATATACAGAAGGTTAAAGAATAAATTATCTGGATGAAAACACTTCTTGATTTTACTGTGAAATTTAAAATTGATGACCTATTATATGTACCACAGAGACAGACAGAGATGACCATTATACTTTCAAAGGTAATGTTTGCATGAAAGTATATTCTAACATATACATACAATTTCCCATGACATCTGCTTTATATCAACAGAAAGTAAAGTGGCTCACGTAGAAGCATCCTTTAAAAACAACCTACAACATGCTTGATGTGAATTTTAAACAGATTAAAGAGAGGAGGTAAAATTAATCTAATACTTACAAAGTGCTCACATAGTAACAAATACTGCCATAAAAGTTATTATTATTTTTTGTTTTTGGTACTGGGGATCAAACTCAGGACCCCGCCCTTGTCAGGCAGGTGTGGCACCACTGAGCTACATCTGCAGCCAGGATTTTTTTTTTTTTTTGTAAAAGTGATTTTTTTATTGTAATGGCTGTCAGAAAGCAGAGAATGAGTTACTCAAAGCATACCCACCTCTTGAGGAATCGAAGTGGAAGCTAAGAAAGAGCTATTCCACACTATGATAATGTTTCAAATAAGCTTCTCCATGTAATTTCATCTTTACTGCTGCAGACTTGGGGATTCATGGAGATCTTCACAGCCATTCCAACTTGCCCCGGGGTAGTTGGTTAAGAAACAACCTAGGACAGGAGATATAAAGACATAAACATTTTCATCAAAGATGACATTTTTTGTTAATTTTTCTTTTATAATGCTGTGGGACGAGTATTCCTTATTCAAAATTTTTGGTAACAAAAATGTTTTAGATTAATTTTTTTTTACACTTTGGAGTATTTGCAAAGATATGATTTGAGATTTGGGATGGTTTGAAAGCATAAACAAGAAATTTGTCTATGTTTCTTATACACAAAGCCTAAGTGAGCATTTATATATTTTGAATAATTTTGTGTGTGAAACAAACGTTCTTGTTGTAGAATTTTCCACTTTTTGACATTAATCCAGCTGTCAAGATGCTTTCTATTCTGGAGCATTATAGACTTCAGATATTTGGATTAAGTATGCTCAACTGTCAACTGATTTTCTCCTTTGGTATCAAATAATTCCCTATAAACATTGTATGGAAACCGTTAAGTCACCTCATTGCACAATGCATTGTTGAGCAGAGACAAATGAAAATGCTCAGATGTCAGGAAAGTGGCTGGCTGCCTCCCTTCAAGGTCTTTTTGAGGAGAGTGCCATGAACGTAAGAGCTTAAAATTTTACCAGATGATTGAGGAATAGACAGATGCTCAGAGGAAGTAACAGCTGAGACAAAGCCTCAGGAGATGTCATTGAGGGTGACCTTCAGAGAGAAGAGAGAGGAGGGCTGGGTGCATCGTTGTGAGACCCCTGGAAAAGGGTTAGAAAGGACCGGAGCCCTCAGAGCTCCCGGGAGGTCAGTCTCCTGGTGAAAGCCAAGATTCCGCCAAGAGTTGATGTCACTCGTGATGAATGCTGTCGTCGAGGTTGACACAAGCACACACACGCGCACAAATAGGAAAATGTAAAGTTACTTTTAAAACCTGAAGATAGCTCAGAAGTGTTTGCTGAATCCACAAACAAGTTCCAAGGAACACCCATTATTTATGTAGCTTTCTTTCAAGCCAGAGACCTGTTCAATTTCTCAAAGAATATTAGAAGGTGCAACATTAATTGTAATACATTTCTAGGGCACAATAACTAGACTGAGATGGGTGAAAAAATCACTGATCTCCAGGTTTGAGTGGGGCCATTCTGGAAGTCCGAATGTGTGCATGTAAATACTCAAATTGACAAGAATGACCATGACTCATGCCTTAATTTATCTTATCCAAATTTTATCCTCCTTTCTCAAGTAGAACAATATTCCAACTACATTCGCATCAAAAAGTTGGATATTTAATGAAATTCCCTATCTCTCTCTCAGTAGGGAATGTACAATTCAGGTAATGTTTAGTATTATGAAAACCTAGAAATGAGCAGCAAGGAGGGGGAGGATTTCTATTTAGAATTGTTTGGAAATGTGAGCTTAAAAAGGACCATTAATTTTACATGGCTCTACTTCTCCCAAATGATTCTGAAATTTTGATGGACTCTCAAAAAATTAATTTATTGACCATACTGTTGGTTCAAATTGAAGTCTTGAAAACCAAATTAAATCACATAGAGCCAGTCATCCATTGAGCAGTGGAATAATAAACACTGCAAAGTATATTTATAGCTTCAGCCTTAGAATGTAAATTATTAAAGTTCAGAATCCTCAGTAGTCTTAAAAAATACAACTTTCAGAATGCTAGGTGTGAATTTGTTCTAGAATGAGGAATTTGACAAAATTTCCTACGGTGTCATCTTTAACAACATAAAGAAAAAAAATTGTAAAAACTCTGGGGATGTGAAGGTGAACAAATATGATTACAAAAAGTAGATAAATAAGCTTATCTATTTACTACAGGGTTAAGTGCCAGTAAATCCATTGCACTACATCAAAAGTATCCTAAGTTGAAATGTATTCAATATATTAAAAATATCCTAAGTTGAAATGCATTCAGTATACTAAACAATATATTAAACATCACACTGCAGTGATGATGGTTCCCCTCATGATCCTGAGGAGTTGATAGAGAGTCGGTGCTCCCTGCTACCTACTGCCCAGTGCAAGGAGCATGCACGTACTTTGAGTACGCTAGGAGGCTGAAGCAGAAGAATCCCGAATTTGATCCCAGCCTGGGCAAGTTAGTGACTTAACCAGACCCTGTCTCAAAGTAAAGAAACAAACAATGAAAGACCTGAGGATGTTCCTCAGTACAAAGGCTCTGGGTTCAATCCATAATACAACAAAAAGAAGAAGGAGGTAGAGGAGGAGGGGGAAAAAGAGGAGGAGAAGGAAGAAGAGGAGGAAGAGCAAGGGAAGGGGAAAGGGAAGGAAAAGAGCAAGAAGAGAGAGGATGACAGGGAGAGACAGAGAGCCATGTTTAACATTTACCATCAAAACATTGTCTCCTCATTCATTCCATGGTCATCTGCACTGTCTGGGAACAGCTCCTTTGTTCAGTAGAGAAGCAATGTGCATTGATCTAGGCAACACTCGTGTGTGACTGTGTGATGTACGCCTTGCAAGAGAAGACAGGGTCACTTCAGTTGTTGCCCAACACACATGCACACGGGCAGATGTTTTAAGGTGGCGCGCACCTTACTGAATCATAATCTGAAAGAGGACTGGTGCAGCAGGACCTCCAGAATTGAATGCTCTGGGACGGACCTGGAGAATTGCAGCTTGTTGTGTCAAGACAAAGAGGTTCATGATAGGACATGTAAGGATAGCATGCAGCCAGATTTCAGAAAAAGAAGGAGAAATGTGAGGAAAGGTATATGAGTTGCCCAAATACCCGGCATGGCATACCCAATTTAAATGAGAAAAGGTTCATTTGGGCTCATGGTTTCAGAAGATTCAGTCCATGGTTGGGTGGCTCCAAGGCAGACACATCATGGTGGAAGGGTGTGGTGGTATAAAGCTGCTCAGTTTATGGCACAGGAGACAGCAGGGGAAGATCATCAGAAAGGAAGTAGCCAGGATCTAGATATGGCCCCCAAACTCACAGCCAAGTGACCTACCCAGACACAACCCGAAGAAATATCATAGTGGAAGAGTGTGGTGTGGGCAAGTGGCTCAGTTCGGAGCATTCAGGAAGCAGACATACAAAGCCAGAGAGATAGAGGCTACTATGGAGCACGTATACATTCCCATAAGCTACCCAGGCATCCAGAAACATGCTTTCCTAATCATACAGGTGTCTCTCAAGCCAATCACACGGACAGTCAACACTGACTGTCACAAAAAGTTAGACATGAAAGTTATGAAGAACCTGTTTTTAACACTTATGCTGGACAGGCACAAGTAACTGCGTGTCTCTCTGAAGGAAATGTACCTGCTGAACACTGCTATCTTGCAAGCAACCTTAAGGTAGGCATTCCTTCGTAGCGCTCTACAAATCTACCCCTGGGTGAACTGTAACGTTAAATCTGCCACAAATCTGCCCACACGAAACACATTAATATGTAGGACCAAAGTGCGCTAATGAAAATTTTGAGAAAAAAGAATATAAATGCACAGACAAACCCTGAAATTCTCAGATAAGGGAGTATCATGTCTCCTGGCCTCTCTGGTTGAAACTGGTCATTGCCCAAAACAATCCAAACAATGCTGATAGATCATTTGCGAGGGGAGTGTTTAGTAATCAAATTTCAACCCTAAGTAAAGGAGTAAGGGATGGAGACACTGTGGATGTATATGGGAGGCAGGCTACTCTCTTTCACGTTGAAGGAGAGCCCAAGAAGTACAAAAATTGCCAAAGAAGAGCCGAGCACAGATTTGCCCACCTATGCTCAATTGAGAGGGAACAGGAAGTAGAACAAGAGATGGAAGAAAGTGGACTCTTGTTGAAGATTTTGGAAAGGGGTGACTTCCTAATTCAATCTATTATTTCAGAAGACGTAGAAGGAATTGTTTTTAAAAATTGACCAGTGAGTGCAAAAGTCCTATCCTGGATATTAAAAAACAGTAAAACATTAACTGAGAAAATGACCAAGGGGCATTGAGATGTATCATGGGGGGAGAAAGAACAGAGCTGGAAATTGATTTACGTGAGTGACAAGAAAGAGAGAAGATCTGTGCCCGAGATGAGGCCCAGTGTGGGGACGGTGGACAAGTGTGGCAAGAAAGAAGGCTGATGGAGGATGCGTTGAAATCGTGTTGGACAATGCGAAGAAACAAAGCTTTGTGGAAGGCAGCTGGAGGGCAGGTGGACCCAGCGAGGGGAGTGAGAGTGGAAAGTAGAGATATGTGTGTGTGGCTCCCAGGTGAAAGTCATCACTGAAACTCCCGTGGATGCAAAGCTCAGCAGGATAGAAGGGAAGAAGGAGAGATCCCCTGAGGATGGAACTGGAGGAGCAAGAACAACAGAGCAGGCAGGAGGAGCCCAGAGTCATGAAAGTTAGTTAAATGAATACTAAGATGGAAGAGAAGGAGAGAATAGTGTGGGTTGGGATTCAAGAAAGCACTTGGTTCCTCAAAGCTGGGGAATTGAATGAGTCAGGGTCTCCAGGGAGGGGATGGATTGATAGAGGGGTGGATTCCTCCTGAGACCCATTCAACAACCGAGGAGACACAGCTGCTTTATACAAAGAAAAGCTACGGAGATGGAGATGAAGGTGGAGGTGGAGAAACACAGTTAGGGATGGTGACAGAGGACAGAGATGGAGACAGAGAAAGAGAGAGAGAGAGAGACACAGAGAGAGAGAGAGAGACCGAGAGAGAGACACACAGAGAGAGAGAGACTGAGAGAGAGACACACAGAGAGAGAGACAGAGAAATATACAGATCCATACAGATAAGTAGATACCTATGTAGATTACGATATAGTGATATCTAGAGAGATATGTAGATACACTGATACAGAGACAGATATTCAAGAATGCATCTTTATTTGGAAATAAAATATATTTATAGATGTTTGTAAAAGTATTTTGCTTGGAAATGCAACTATAGTTACAAATACAAATATGTAGATTGACAAATACTTATACAGGTTAAGAAGTATTTGACTTGGAAATAAACTATTTTTTTGCAAATAAATATTTATAGTTATTTATTGGCACATGTGTC